TTTTTCCCCTAAGCAGATGGGAATTATAACTTAAGAGAAAAATCCATAAAAAGCTGAAACACGAGAGCTGAAAGTCTTTCATTCAGAAATACTGCAGCCAAAGCTCATAGGAGCTATAGCCATCTTTAAGAGTTTGCATATGACACTTGAATCCAGTCTGCCCTTGCTGGACTACATATCCCACAAACCTTCACAAGCCTGCATTGTTCCTGGGGTGGAGATGAATAACAGCACTTAGCTTGCAATGTATCCTGCAGCCTGATACATTACAAACACTTTTCTACTAGTAGATGATGACTTGATGCAGTTATCATCTTTGCTGTAGTTTAGAGCTGGAGCCTGAACTATTTTCATATGCCAAAGAATTAACAGAAGAAGTTCTGAGCAAAATATTTTGGGCCAAGACAAACTCCAGCCAAGACACTGGTTTTCCTTTACATGTTGGTGAGGTATGATACAAACTTCAAAGAAGGAGTTTCATAATCCTTAAGTGTTCTACATAGTCTCAGCAGTGCAATTTACTATAGACAAAAAGCCTCTATATGAGACAAATGTCAAAGTGAGAAAAGAGCTAAGAAAAGATAACAGTTTGCTTTTAATAGCATGCTGGCTCTTCATCGCAAGGCAAATGTCTAGCTAGAGATTCAGTTGTAATACAACAATAGTTTGCAAAAATGAATGTAGCAGTATTGTTAACACTGAGCTACTGTTACATTCTTAAGCATGCATGGCTTACTTTTAACAGAATGCTTCAGTTCACATTTATTATACAGAAAACTGCAATACATTGAAATACCATAAAAAACAAAACAAAACAAAAAAAAAAACGTTCAAATCTCCTGAGAAACATTCAGTATGTCAGTAACTTACAGGATTTTCAAAACTCACTTTCAACAGAATACAGACTCTTCCAGTAAAGCAAGAATGACCTCCCCCCTGTTCACCTACCTTTTAAAAAGTTTCTCCATATGAGAGTTGAAGTAAAAGGAAGAATTTCATAACCATTCCTAAAAATATATGAAAAACATCTAAAGCAATCTCATTTCGTCTGCACAAGATTAAAGAGAACATATATTTCACCGGGTAGGAAAGATGAAAATATCGTCAATCAATTTTTAACAGCCTACTGTTTACTCAAGGCAGACAGAGGGAGCTGTTGCTATTCAAACGAGAGATGATGGTCTCAAACAGACACATGATGGTATGTAATCAAAGTAGTTTGAAAGATGACTGGCACTGGAAACCTCATTTACTAAGGTCAAAGAGAAAATGCATCTGTAATTCCCCCCCCATTTGCTTGTATAGTTTTCATTATCTCTTGAAAAAAAAAAAAGTACCAACAGTAATGCAAAAGTGTTACGTAACATAACAAGATAGTTTTTCAAGGCCACATCAATTACAGCCCATTATCAAAGCCAAGCAGATTTGAAAGTGTTTATCCCCAGATGTGCCTTACAGCAGCAAAAGGGTGCACTCAGCAAGTACTGATAGAGCAGGCTGCCCCCTGAAAGGACTGAAAGGGGCAGCTCCAGTCCTGGCTTGAAGCACCACAGACCTGGTTCCAGCCTGACTGCTTCAGGCTGGCCACATGTCCTTGGCCAAGTCAGCTCTGTCTGAAGTCTGGATAGCTGATATCTTCTATGTAGCAATTATTTAGATCAAGTCAATGTAGATCTTGAGCCCACTACATCCTTCCAGTGGGGTAGATAAAAGACTTGTGTTCCCAAGCAAGAGATTTTTATCTTGAACATTAACCATTAATGAATATTTAATGTGCCCATTAACTTGGCTAAATCTTCTGAGGTTATTCTAACACTCTTCACAGCACCCTGTGACAGTGAGGTCCACAGGCTAATTAAGAATAACAAAGGAAAAAGTTGAAAACTCTCCACCCAATAACTTCACTTGCTGCCTTGCTTTCTTTCTTGGGGAAAGCTTACTCTCCACTCCACATTGCTCATGAGAAAGGCAAAACTCAAGTAGCTGAACAAAGCCAGAGTGCAGCTAAAAGCTATGGCACTGACCACTAGCATCACTACTATCCTCCCAGGACAAGGGTCAACCGGACATCCAAGGAGAGAGACAAAGCCTCAGAGACACAGCCAGCAGACTCCAATTAAAGTTACTAAACCGCACACCTGCTCAAAGTGTTTAGCTATGAGTAGGCTAGGCATATAATTGACAGTTTTTGTTGCAATTCTTTGCTTTTGCTTTCTATGAGCTTCTATGAGCATTAACAGATTCCCCTGTGCAGTGCAGCACTGCCCTCGGCCCCCAGAACTGATGGGACTAGCAACAATTAACTTAAAATGGATATGAGAAAACCTTTCATTAGCAGAATCTACAGCAATAGCCTGCAACCCTCTTACAGGAGGAATCTGAACCATGAACAGGAAATTTTAGGAATGCAGAAAACACACTGAGTTATTAGCCTGCTATATTACTTTTATTGTCAAGAGCACTGTGTTGTATGGAGTTCAATATTCACTGGGAAAAAAAAACAAAACAAAACAACAAAAAAACCCAACAATTAATGGCATTTTAGCTAGAGCCAAACAAAATAACCAGTAAAACAACAAAGCACAGAGAGCAAGCTTGATTTTCTGATCCACTGCCAGCACCGTGCCCTTGCTAGGCTGTACTCAGCACTGCTGCTAGTAACAGTACAATAGGAGGGCAGAACTTGTCTATCATATCTAGCAGACACCCTTTGGAAGATTATTAGAGATACCATTTATTCCTTTTTACCACATCTCAGCTTTAAAAGAGACATATCCTTGTTATTAAACAGGGACCATTACTGAATGCTCCTGTGGGATTTAATGACTGATATCTACTCAGTATCAGAGCAGAGGCTTCCCACGGGGTACTTCATGCTGAAGTCCTACAGATGGGATTTCCCCAAGTACTCAGTACAGATTAAGCCCCAACTCGCAGCAGCCAGTGACTTGAAGTCTCCTGCCTAGGAGAGTTCAGAAATGCAACATACTAACTGCTATCTCCCACCTTTCCCATTTTTTTCCCCCTCTCTAGTGTCACAGTTTCATCGATGCTAGTGAAGTTGTTAAATCCCATCTCATGTAAGTATCTGAGAGAGACATGCCTCATCATTCTTCTGAGCAAAGCCTGAAGGTATCCACTCCACAGGGGGATATGATTTCAGACTGTAGTCCAAAATTGTACTTTCTATCTTGTTTAATACTTTGATTTATATCCTCATTAGCATGGGAGAATAGCTCCTATTAAAACTATTAAAGATAATTTTAGCAATAATATCAAAGGATGAGTAGGTGTAATGATAGCACTAATGATAAAAATTAATAACCATTCATTATTTTTAATCGTATGTACAGCTGAAATGAATATTCAAGAAAATAAACACGGCATTTTATATAAGCCAAAAACTAAAGGGAAGTAAAACCACTATAAATTATACTCCAAATTATCTGTTGTCCACTGACAAAATGTATTATGCTACACTTTTACAGACATGAAAGTATTCTTCAGGAGACCACACAGCTGGGTCCCACCAAGCAAATGTCAGTTCACCTCACACCTGTATCCTGTGAGTCTCACTTTGACACACTGGGCATCTGGTATCTTAATTCCAGGTATATGAGGGAACGCTGGATGAGGACATTATTGTTAATGCAGAAAAGCACCAATTATAACATTTCTTTCCTTAGTATCTACATCTGTTCCCTTATCACTGCACTGGCTGGGTCCTTTTCGATCATTAGCTCTTGAGCATTGCACCATTTCTCACAGGAACAGCATTACAGCCAATGGTTCTATGGACTTCAGCAACTACATACTGTGGCTTCAAGATTGGCTGTCAACACAAGCAACCAAGAGGAATCCCTGCGTTACTTTGCAGTGTGTAAAACTCACTTCCAGAAAACAACAAGCTACAGTACTTCCCAACGCATTACAACAATTTGAAAACACAACTTATATTAAGCACTGCCTCCAAAGTACATACTTAATGATACTTGCACACCTTCAAGTCTTCAAGGGGGAAAGATTTCATCTTTTCTTGGAAGGAGGACTGTCATTCAGGTTTTCTTTAAGGACAAAGGGGCAAGGGGTAAAACCAAACAAGAAATAGAACTCCTAACTGATCGAGTTATTTTCAACAATAGAACTGCAATTTTGTCTTTCATTACAGGTCACCTTAAAGGTTTTGCAAAAGCCTTTGCTAGACATTAAATCCCCCAGTGAAAGGTACAAAAGTCATTTGAAATTTGAAGTGATTTTATCTTAAGAATCAAATGTAAGAGCTTCTGACAGCAGCAAAGCTGTATTCATGTCATCTGAAACACGTCCTATCTTAATTGTGAAATAGCTGATACTGCTTCTGGTCTGCAGACAGGTTATGGACTCAAAGTTTTACTTCTCTGAAGTTTCAATAACTGCTCTATCATAGCCTCAATAAAGAGGACTTTTTCCAAAAAGGATGCATGTACCTTATTCCTAGACAAGGTTCTTGGACAGTTGGAAAAACAGTGCCAGCAAAAGGTGACTTAAAATGATCACCACATGTTCACAGAACTCCACCTCCAGCTGATAAATTGAAGTCCCACACACTAATTGTCACCTTGGCAACTGGTTATGGCACGCAAACTTTTCCAGGCTTGACCAAGGCTGCCACAAGTACTCCCTGCTCCCACAACAGGAATTGTGGAAATAGTTCCCAAAATCAGAGGTCTCATGGGACATTAAAAAGAAAAACTTAGAACTAATTTCCATCTACCTGTCAGCCTGTCTTACTTTACCAGGTTCAGAGAAACAGAGTTGCCCACATCTCCCTCCAGACTTTTAAAGCCATGCAGAGCATCTTGCTGCCACAGCGAGCATACACCAGCAACCAGGCTGCTCCATGTCAGTATTAGTTTTTGGTCAGAAAAAAAGAACCAAAAAAAACCAAACACCAAACAAACAAACCCAAAACAAATGAAGTGACAAAGGAAAATAATAATAAGAAAAGCCTCCTACCTTTTGGAGTAGTTTACAGTTGCATTCCACCAGAAGGATGACCATTCAGCCTCACACACTGATGGGTCTGGCACACAGCAGGTTTTTCAGGGTAGCAGTCATGAGATCTGTGCCCTGCGGGAAGAAGTCCTTATAAGCAATTTGGAGGGGAAAAAAAATAAAAACATAAAAAAATCAGAAGCAGAAAAGACAACGTAAGTTCTATTCCATCTCCTCAGAAACAAAGGCACTGTTGGTTGAGCAGTTACATCACTAAGAGCATAACTCTTTTCCAATGCATACATAGTGGATTTGTATTTTGTGCCCTTGTCAATCCCTCTCCCTGTCTGCCCAAACTGTAAGCCATGTTAATTTATGTGGGGTATGGCAGCACCTTGCTGTGCAGGGATGCCTGCTGTCTGCAACAACACTCTTCTCAGTGTGGTCCCCAGAAGACAACTCAAAGCAAACGATAAGGTATCGGGGTCACAGCTGAAATACCACTGCTCCATACACAGGTGATACATTGAGCTATCTTCAGGAGCTAACATTTTATTGTCACTAAACGTTTAACAGTTGTTATGGAGGCAGAGAGATGAACTGCATTTAACCGCAACCTCCATTTCCCCCAAGCCTTAATCCCTCAGAAGTTTTTGGGTGCTGGAAGATTCAAGAGCACTGCACATCTGCAACCAGATAATGGCCTCCTGCCACTGTGACTTGAAGCTCCAGGCCAGCTGCAATTAAATTAAAACAAACAAACAAACCCAAAACAAACTCAAGAACAAGCACCCCACAAATATCAAACTTACTGAGCTGAAAAGAAAAGGCTCAGCCAAAGACCCTACACACAAAAAGCAAGTAGAAAAGGATGGAACTGAGATACTCAGGAAAATATATCAAGCTCACAATGATCAATCTACAGTGTAGGAGAGGAAACAAATATCTCTCAGAGTGTAAATGGAGGTCACAGTTGTGAGTGCTCAGTGTGTGAACTGGGAGCACCGGTCTGCAGCTGCTGAAACTCCACAGCTCCCAGAACAGCTCTGAGGAAAGGGTGTATGGATGTGGAAATACTTAATTACAGTTGCTTTTATTCTGTTGTTGTTTTCTTCCTCAGAAAAATTTCAATTCCCAGATAGGAAGGCATTATATTGCTGCTGTCACCGGCTAACTTCACGCCATTTCAAGCATCCTCTGATGAGGAGCGGCCTTCCTCTCCCTTGACTGACCCCTGACTGCAAACAGTGGCTGGAGGGAGAGGCAGTGTGAGTAAATCTCATGTGGTGACTACAAGGCTTTAGTGGCCTTCAGCACTGGGAAGGTGAATGCCTGAGCAGCACCCTGAGAGCCGGTTGTTTCAGTAGTGCCAAACTCATGTTTGTTCAGCTGTGTCTGACCAGGAGATTTGTTTTTACCTCTAGCTTCTGATTGCTTTGGTTTCTTCTGCTTTATTAGCATTTCTTGGATGTTAGTTTTGACTTCTCTTGCCATTTTTCTGAACATGAGGGTCCCCAGGTGCTTTCCATGCAGTGACTTCCAGAGAGCAAGAGGGTAACCACAGCCTATGTCCTCTGCACGTCATCACACAGGCCATGACTGAGCTCCTCCAGCAATGGCCAAGCCTTTCTAAGTGGTGCCCTAGGAGAAGTAAATCACTGCATCCCAATGGTTGCTATTCTGGGACAGGCCCATGTGGAAATGGGTGTGGATGCAGAATGGATGCTTCCAGGCACCCACAGCCAAAGACTTGCTCACAGCATGGTAATTCCTGCTCTTAACATCTGAGCCAAGTTGTATTTTTACAATGTTTATTAACTAATTAGTTTAATTTATAATTTTATTTAATTAATAAACTAATTATTCACTATTTATACTATTTAAAATATATTAATACTCAAGTTGTGACAGTGATTGATTCACAACCTTTCAAAGCCCAGACTGATGTAATGAGCAGAAGCTTCAATTAGCTTTTGCTGGAGCTGCAAGCTCCCTGCAGCATCCAAAGTGGGTGTGGGGCTCCCTAACAAGAAGCAGTGCAGCAGCTGCCAGCATCCTCTGCACAAGGCAGCCTGGCTTTATCCTCAGGGATTAACCAAACTCCCCATGGCTCTCTCTAGTGCAGACATCTATCACCTCCTTTCTTTGAGGAGAATCAGAAATGATGCAGCCTGCCACCTGCATGTATGAATCCTGCTCAGATCCCCACAGAGGGCTACAGGGAGCATGCAAACAGCCCTGGTGCACTCACTGCTTGATAAACCCTTAACCTAGGACCAAAATGGTTCTTTCATCCCTGAAGAGAAAGATGCTTTTCAAAATGGAAATGACATTATCAATTTCACATTGCATTTATATAATATTTGCTGTATTTATTAACTAATTACTAGTTGCTTATTAATCAGTCAACACTTGGAAACTAACAATTCATTACTAAATATTTGTAAATTGATTACTTGACATGCACTCAATTTTAAACTATGGTACTTACATTCAAGTGATGACAGGGACTGATTTACAACTGTGTTAAGAGCCCCCTGGTGCTGCAGCAAGCTGTTGCTGCACTCCCAGCCCCATGCAGGTGGCAGAAGCTGGCAGTGCAGCCCTTACCCTCAACAATGGGCAGGATATGGCCTCGGGTAAGGAAGCCAAAGAGCTTTGCACCTAGGTGCTGCTCAGGTGTGGCTATGGATATCTGAGGATTTTGCTCCTGCCAGGGATGATGCCACAGTCTGGTGCTACCCCACAATTGGTGGCTCAATCCAGAGTCATTGCGGAAAAAAAAACAACCCTGAAACCATAACCCAACCCAAAAAAGCCTAAAAATTTCATAGAATCATAAAGTGGCTTAGGTTGGAAGGAACCTTAAAGCCCATCCAGTTCCACTCCCCGGCATGTGCTTGTTGCCATCCAGGGCCCCATCCAACCTGGCCTTCAGCATCTCCAGGGATGGGGCACCCACAGCTTCTTTAGGCAAATCAGGAGGAATGAGTGGTGTGTTCAATTTGTATATTTATTTTTTCCTTTTATATGTATACACTTCTCAGTATGACTTCCTAGTATCCTTAAAAATAGTAAAATGGTGAATTAATAAAGCAGGATGGAGAGGCAGTAACCTTGTGAACTAAAGGTTATCTGTTACTCTTTAGTAACAGTAACTTGCAGTTTCAAGTTTAAAAAACAAAAATGTTTATTTGGACTAAGGCTAAGGTGCTATAGAATATTTGGGCACCTATCAACATAATGCAGAAACTTCACAGCGGTGTAGGCTGTAATGAATGCTATCCAAATTGCTACTGTTAAAGTCAGGAGGAAGTGCTACAGCATTTTTTAATTTTTATTTTACATGGATAACTGAGAGATGGAGAAGCTCAACATGAGTAGAATACATCAAAGCTGCTGTGAAAACAGAGATTAGCAATGCCAGCCTGCTGCAGAGGCTAATCACAAAAACAAGGGCCAGATAACAGCCCAGAAAGCACTGTTAAAAAGCAGGAAAAGCCTGCAAGTTCTAGAAACAAACAGTATCCTCCATTGAAGAAACCTACTAGAAAGCAAAATAAGAGGACTGTCCCAGTTATGGAGTAATTGACGATACCGGAAAAAAGTTCATACTTAAGGAATAGATGATCTTAAGAAATGATTCTGTCTCTAGCAATTTCCTGGAAAATGCTACAGAATCAAGTTCCTTAGTGGGCTTGGTAGGGCTCCCTGGTTTGTTGTACAGGGCAATCTTTCTAAATGAGAAGAGCTTAAAAATACAGCTAAAGCTAGTGCTGAGATTGCTCATTTCATTCATCTTCTTTCAAGCAAGTATGCCTAAGTATAGGAAAAATCTCAAGGGATAGAATAATGAATAGTAAAATGTTAAGTCATTTTGAGGAAAGATGCCATAGATTAGTAGAGGATAATCATAGTAACTGAGGCTTAACTGTTACATTCCACATTTCCTGAAGTTGACATCATGGTGCATTACTGTAAATCATATGTTGAAAGCTTCCCTGTAAAGAAAAAGGTATGGTAAAATCTATGACTAAATGTAACAGCTACAACTTTAAGCTATGAACTTTACCTCTTGTAGGCAAGAGATGGAACCAAGAAAGAACATACAAACCAACCAGTGAACAGCTCTTTGGAAAGAGTAGGCAATAAATTGAATAAAAAGAAAAGAATCTGACTAGACTCCCATGCAGGAACAAGTTCTAGTCAAGATAATCACTAACAGGAGTTCTGTTAATTTTTAAATCTTTCATAAATATCACAGAACAGCAAGAAATTCATTCTACCCCAGATAGTGATAGCTACTTTCTGCCTAACTTTGCCTTGATTGTTTTCTGTTACAAATGTTCATGAAAAGAAAAAGATGCAATACTTAGCTCATTTCCTATAATTTTGTTAATGACCACAAGAAAATAAAGAACCCAAGTGGCACAAATTCAAAGTGCCTCTTCAGTCAAAGCAAGAGAAATTCTGTTTCTCCTATTGCTAAATGTGATCAGAATGACCTGATTATGAATATATTTATGTACAAAGTTTATATATAAGTATGTATAGATATAATTACATATATTTGCAAATGAATCTGCAGTTGGAAGAAACAAGTGATTCAATTAAGTCCAAATGTTTCACACATGCAATCTGGCGAAGTATAATTTGTTATCATTAAGCTATCTCTACAACTTCAGAAGTGAGAACTATACTTTCACGTCTTTCAGAAAACCATTACAGAAATTAATGGTCCTTGAAGAGGTAAAAAGTAGGTTAAAAACAACAGCAACAAAACACAGTACTTGGTAGATACCAGCATTTCCTTCATTAGAGATATCAAAATACTGAATATGTAGTATGTAGCTACATGCCAATTTGGAAGGCCGTGGAAAGGTTTGTTATTAAGTGATTAACCGAGTAATTGTAAAAACAGGCATTTACTGTATTACTTTCTGGAAGGTTAGTTATTTTACTACTGAAATCCTTTGAACTAAATCTGTAAAAAATAGAGTGTTGCTTTAGCGTTAAGTCCACACTTCAAAATTGTCACTCATGTCATACCTGCAGTACAACAAAACCCAGTAGATTTATAGAACCACGGAAGGGTTTGGGTTGGAATGGACTTTAAAGATCACCCAATCCCAATCCCACTGCCATAGGCTGGTTGACACCCACCAAATCAGGCTGCCCAGGGCCCCATCCAACCTGGTCTTGGGCACTCCTGGGTATCCAGGGGCATCCAATTCTTCTCTGGGCAGCCTGTACCAGCGCCTTGTCACCCTCTGACTAAATAATTGTTCCCTTATATCTAATCTAAATCTATCCTCTTCTACTTTAAATCCACTCCCCCTTTTCCTATTGCTATCCACCCTTTACCTGTGTAAGTCATTCTCTCTCCTGCTTATTAACTCCTCTCATCATCTTCTTCCAATTCTTGGCTGATACAGAGTTTAGTTCTTTATACTAAGGAGCAAATAGAGCTTAGAAAATACACTAGTAGTTAACAGTCATTTATGTAGCCAGTAAGTACTTCTCAGCAATGCACCTACAGAAAGCTTAACAATTAGTTCTGCAACTTCTGTGCTGATAAGCATGCTCCTTCCAATCAGCACTACTAGCATTGCAGGTGAAAGACTGACAGGAGCTTGAGCAGACCCTGTTAAAACCAAGATGTTTTTCAGATGTCTCAGGACTTGGTTTTCAGTTTAAAAAGATTTTTAACAGCACATGTTCAGTTCTGTTTTGTGTATTGTTCCCTGATTTATAGGAAATCTGAAATCAGAATGCTATAGTTGGAAAAATCTGACTACAGTCAGAAAATGCTTTTAAACCAAAACTGTTCTCCTGCAGCACAAGTTTTCTGCATTTGAGGTACTGAGTCCCAAATAGTTCTAGAATTCAAAAATTCTGGAGAATCAGTGAACCTGATCAAAAATCCCATGTAAGTCATACCAAGCTTCCACCTAACATGGCTTCACTTCCAGAGTTTGCAGGTAGCACTTGATGATGAAATGAAGCAGCAAGTGTGGGTCTGAAGAAGCTTCCTTGTAGGATGTAAATAAACTAGAAGAAAGCGGAAACAAACAATAAGAAACAAAACAAAAAGTCTTTATGCGCATAATATACGTTTTGATTATAGTAAAGGCACCAAGAATGAAAATTTCTATAGTCAGCTTGCTCAGGGGCTTCCTCCAGCTTTTTGCACAGCAGGATCAGGATGTATGTACAAATTGCAGCCTTCAAATTATCAGGAACAGGCAAATCTCCTAAAGCTTTTTCAAACAGAAATGTTTCTCAAGTTCATTTGAGAAAAAGAAGCATAAAGAGTATTTCAAAACAGTCTGTTATTAGAGTAATTGAATTCCATTTTTGTACAGCAGACTAGTGCTACAGAGTGCTAGTGTGCCAAGATTTTATCTCAGAGAAAAAAACATCCATGGAAGCTTAAAGGGAGCATCACCTCCCTAGGAAGACAAAGCACATGGCACACTAGACATAGGCACTTGTTCCTCAAGTACTTTGCTTTAGTGGCCTGGCGTGCAATCAGTAGGTGTACAGAGGTTAGGCTAAGTAGGATTATTGCAATGGAAAGATAATAAATGAAAAATGCTTACTGATATCATAGGCTTGCAGTAAAATCCACAAGAACCAATCTCCAGAAGAAAAGTTTCCCTTAGTGACAGTCAGCACTTAAATAGGGTCTAGGAGAGGTGGAGTCAGACTCCACCCCTTCCAGCAGCACAGATGAATTGCCTTCACCTGTGCTCCCATGGCTGACTCATTGCTTGCCTCAGGTGGTCAATCAGAGGTTCAGGTCATGATCAACAGTTCCCTTACACCTGGGAAAACTAAAAGGTGTCTTCAGGGAGAAGTTTATGAGAGATAGCAAACAACACTTTTAGGTCAAGAGCCCCAGAAGACATTCTCCAATTGGACTTCTCAGTCCTCCTCTCACTTGGGTTATAGTCAACCAGATGTTCCCTTCCTTCAAACGCTTTTAGAATCAATATCTCAATTCTGAATTGAAAGTCATCCATTCTGTCAAATCATGTCTATCACCTTGTCTTTATATGAGTTTTGTGTGGGCCAGATCAATCCTAGCAAGATTTGTTTACTCATTTTTACCATCTTAAAACTTCCAAAGGAAGACTCAAGGAGTTACTCATAGCCTAATTTTGTATGTTTATACAAAACATACAAATTATTATGTGTCCCTTTTCATTGCAGGGGAGTTGGGCTTCCAACTTAAACAATTATATGATTCTATTAGGCTTAGGTATTCCTCCTGACTATACCCATAACTATCCTGCCATGATAAGATAAAGTTACTAATGTTATTCTTCAAAACATAGAAAACCCGAACATCTTTTCCTGCCTGCTTTGTATTTCACTGAGTTGCAATCTACTGCATGCAGTCTGTGTGTGCAAAAACAATAGATATCTTCTGTTGTCAGCTGGTATGTGATTAATTCTTTTTTGTCACCAAGATGGGCTATGGTGGCTCAATCCAGTGTCATTACCTCAGTGGCTGAAGGAGATAAATACCTCTGCAAAATTGTGCCCCGCCAAAATACCATAATAAGTAGCAGTGAGACAAGGGGATTGTTAAAGTGTGGCCAACTGCAACTCAAGCAGGTGACTGCAGTTTTAGACTCACTGATGGCTCTCCAACTGGACTGTAAAAACCACATAATGTGAATTTTAGCAGCAAAGATGGGTGGTGAGAAAGTGTAGGTGCCACACCCCTACAAGCCTCAGCCAATTCGAGCTTCAAGAGCTATCCTGGAAAAACAGTACCAGTGTCTTTCTCTCAGGAAGTTCGTTTAAAGTAGTACTGCTTATAGCAGAATGTAACACTTGCATTATTTGTGTGACAAACTCACATTCAAAATACCTAAATCAGAAGATTTCAGTATAACACCAGAAGGAGCTCACTCTATTGCCCTCACTATGATGGCTCTCTGATTTGATCAAATTAAACAAAACTGATCAAAACATGCAGACACAATAAAATAGATTAATGCAGACATGTAATATCCTGTGTCAATGCTATGGAAATTTCACTTTCCAATGTTGCTTTGTTAAAGAAACAAGTGCAAAGATCTGTAGACCTATCCTTTTTTGTAATTATTGATGAAGCATCATTTTATACAACAGAAAATGAACTTCTATGCTTTAACTTGCATTACATTTAGCATTATTAACGATCTGATACTGTGTACAAGGAAAATGCAAATTATAGGAAATTAATCGATGTGAAATATTATGTACCTGCCTGAACCAGTATTTTTTCTCAGCAAAATATGTAATATCAAAAAAGAATTGAGTCAGTAAGAGACTGAGAGCAGATGAGACTTTGAAACACTCAGTTTAAATGTATATCAGATGTAACAATATGAGTCCATGGGATAAAAAAGCACACCAAGTTCTGCAGGGGTTTTGGTTTTCCATAGGCAAGTAGCAGTTGAGATCATTAGAATCAAGATGAAATGAACAGTTCCTGCACTTATTTTGTGGGCACTGCATTTCAGGGATCTCAGGATAGCAGAAAGTTTTTGGAATAGGGTCAGTTTGGTTTGCTGTGTTTCATAAAAATCTGCACAAGTCCAGTTTAGCACTTGTGTATATCGATGAACTCATTACATTAAGGACTCAAACTTAGGCTATTCCATGCTTTCTCCATGGAGCTGACAGTCTCAGAGACGCAATAATAGGAACAAGTCTGTCTGTAATTCAGAGGAAAGAGACTACTGTAAATACTGATGCTGAATAATCAAATAATATCTTCATCAATAACTGTATGCTATAAATCATATATATGTATGTCATCAATTCACCACTAAGTGCAAAAAGACAATGGGGGAAAAGAAATAAGCCAAGTGCATACAAACACAGGAGAAATATCAAATTACTGACTTGTACTTTCTTCTTCTTCCAAATAAAAATAGGAAAGTTACAGAAGATCCTGAGCTACTGGAAAAGGAATCCCCCAGGATGTATACAACATGTGCCATACAAGGAGAAATAAAAACAGGGAAGCACAGGTAAGAAATGTTATTATAATGCTTAGTGTAAGCATTGTAAATGTGCATGTAAGCATAATGTAAATATTCCCTTTGTACTCTGTGATTTGGTGAGATGTCCCAACTAATGCTCGAGGCATACTGCAGACAGAGGATTAAAGTGGTGCCTGTGTTCTGTATCTGACCAAGCAGCAGGCCCTATCTCCCTAAAGAACGTTTTTCTCCCACAGGTTGTATTTCCTATGTGCCTTGTGACATGAGGCATAATGGAATTCTACACAATTTCTATGAGGAACTATTTGTACACATGGTAAGAATTGCAAACCACCACACTTGCAGATGCCCACCTTCTGGTTGACCCTTCTCTTACAAACACGAACCAATTATGCATTTTGAGGAACTCAAGGCAGGATCTAACTCTTCTACCATGTTCACTTAACGAAGGGACCACCGATTACTGCATAATTAGATAGGTGATCTAAGCTACCAATTTTTCTTTTTCTTTTTGTGCAGCACTTGAAAATTCTGTAATGATCTTATATGTAACATGACATAGAAGAAAACTTTTTTCTTTATAGAGGGATGCTTGTGTGGCTTCTGGCTTACAAAGGCATTTGTTTTCTGGCTTGTGAGACCTGAACAAGATGTTGAGGTTTGATGACACATTTCTGGAAAAAGTGTATGACTTGCAGGTTGTCACGCAGCAAAATTCCCAAAGTCAAGGGGATTCCCCTATTAGCAAACCCTGCTTACTTGTCTGATGTACAGGGTTATGGACTTCCTGCCAAAGACGTGGAGTTATGTTCTTGAAAGGGCTTGTATTACTGGTACTGTTTCTCCTAATGATTTAAGCATCTAAATTCCATTTCTGAAGCAAGGTGGGCCAGATTCTGGGAAGTATTTTGGAATCCAAAGTTAAAAGTAGCCCAGCAGAGGGGCTATCAAAACAGCTCATAAATGCTACAAAATCTGCACTGTGGGACCATTCTGGGGAAATGCATGCACCAACAGCCTAGAGATCTCTTCAGTTTTTAAAAATATAGCAGTTCCTGTGCAAGGAAGGGATGGTGTTTGAATAAAGGCATTCAAATATAAACTTAATTTCAAAGCATTGTTTTTTAAAAATACAGTCTTACAGTAGTGAGATATGATTATGATTTCAAAGTGAGAGGGGAAAGGAGATTTTGAGGTTTTATTTTCTTGTTTGTTTAACAAAAACATGTAAACTTTCCTGCAAAATAGAAATGAAAATGAATTCCACACAGTTGGAATACTATGACTGAGGGCTATAACCTTTTTAGAAGGGACAGGCAGAGTAGGAGATGTGGGAGAGTTGCCCTCTACGTTAAGAAGGGGATAATCTGCAAAAATCTGCTCCTGAGAAGCAGCTATGAACAGGTTGAGTGCTTGTGGGTTAAGATTAGGGACCAGACCAATAAAAGGGCATCTGGTTGTTGGGTTCTACTAGCAGCCTATACTGCCACTGAAGGGGAGCCTGTTGATGAGGCCTTCCTCCTTCAGCTGCAAGAGGAGTTGCACTTGCAGGCCCTGGCACAAGCTGCTCAGAGAGGCTGTGGTTGCCCCATCCCTGGAGGCACTAAAGGCCAGGTTGGAAGAGGCCCTGGCAACTAGTGGATGGCAACTCTGCTCACAGCCTGGGAGGTCGATACTAGAGGATTTTTAATGTCCCTTCCAACCTAAGCCATTCTATGCTTCTACAGTTACAAACTACTTAAGCATCCATTACAATTTTAGTCCTATACTGAGGGCTCTGAATCTTCAAGAGTGTTTGACACCTGTGGCTTCTTTGAAGTCAGTGAAAAAGATTCTGCTACTGTCATTTTTGCCATGTACTCAGAGAACTTTCTTGTGCAGGACAAATCACCATGCCTGCCACCTCTACAAGATCTTTGCTAAAATACTGTCATTCATACCAGTGCAGAGACTGCCAGAGGAGCTGCTGAGGAACTGATGAGCATAGCACGTGCAACGTGGAGTTTTCCTATTGCATTTTTCTGTGCACGATTGAGTGCTGTTATAAAGCACAGAAAGAGAACAGTTGGGCAGCGCTGGATTCTTCTCATTAAAGACAGATGAAAAGCAAAGCTCATTATAATCTGCCTGTTTGTGACATTGACATGATAACAAGAAGGTTGACTGCTGTGTTTTTGTGGAGAAACCCGTGAAGCAGCACAAATGACTGAAGCACATGTAATTGCCTAAAAGGTTGCAGGTACTCCAGGAAGGTGACAGATTCCCTTTCTGCTGTTGTCACCTTGCCCTTGCTGCATGCTGGGGTAAATGACAAGAGGCAAAGACGTATCACCTGCAATCACAGACCATATTGTGTACTTCTTGAACAAGATTCTTCACAAAGGAATTTCCCTGTTTTGCCAAGATAAGCTTGCAAGCCAAATCTTCATTTTCATTCTAAAAAGCTTGACATCTGACCCCAGTGAAAACTGAACTTTTTTTTTTCAAGTTATGCTGAACTGCATAGGGGGGACACCGTCAAAAAATGTAAAAAAAAAAAAAAAAAAAGGGGAAGAAAAGCAAAAAATAACTGCAAAGAAAGAGGGCAGAAAGCACCAGGAGCATGAGAGGTTGTAGAACTCTGTCCCCTGTCCTGCAGGATGAGGTGACCTTAACCCTCAGAATGTTCAGACATCTTA